TTGGGTATTATCAAGGGCTCTTTTTTCCTTCACCCCACCCAGTCCAATTTATCTTGACTTGGCCAGAGAATATCGGTAGGTCAAATATTAAGGATGTTAAAAGTTTGAAATAATAACTTAATATACTTATCTTTTTTTCAGTACTTTTTCACTCACTTTAAAAAATGTGAGATATAATTGACATATAACACCATCTTATTTTCAGGTGTACAACATAATGATAATTGTATATATTGCAAAATGGTCATATTTATCTTTTTGCATTCCATAAGTTGATGTGATTTTTTTCAAGATGAATAATTTGGTGCTCTTGGGTTAGACGGTAAGGCAGAACTGGGAATTCCTTCTGATTATAGACGGAAAGAACCTCAGGTTAAGCAGGTATTTTGGTTCTACTGACTGTGAATTGGAAGAAGAAGTGTGTGCGGGTGTGTGAGTGTGTTTATTTAGAGAGAGAAAGAGAGAGCAGGGGAGGGGCAGAGAAAGAGAGAAGCCCAAGTAGTCTCTGCACTGTCAGCACAGAGCCTGATGTAGAACTCGGTTCCATGAGCTGTGAGATCATGACCTGAGCCGAGATCAAGAGTTGGACACATAACCAGCTGAGCCATCCAGGATCCCCTGAAAGAAGTCTTAAACAAGAGGCTCCACACATTAGTCAGTTGACTAAGGTAAACATTACTTCTACCTTTCCTGTTGATGGGAACAAGTAGCTGTATATAAAACTGAATCCTTGCAGTCTACCCACTGCCCCCCACTCACAGAAAGAGAGAGGGGATAAAAGCCATCTTGCCTTAGAATAAGAACTTAGTCCCTTTATCATATGATTCTCTGTCCAGATTTCATGCACACATTAGTTCAACTATGCAGCCATCCCATTACACTTAAAAAATGCTAGAAATCTTCCATGGCAACTAGGATATACTCATTGTCTACCCAGATGTTTTTATAGGTCACTTTAGATAGACTTTGGGTTATCATACTGTCAACACTTAGGTTTCCTGTGAGTCTTTGTTAAAGTTAACTGAATCATAGAATAACTTTCACATGAGGGTACTTAGTGACTATTAATGATGGTGTTTATGTTATATCTGTATGAGTCAGGATTGCAAAATGGTTAAGTGCTCAGACTCTGACTCTAGACAGACCTGAGTTTAAAACTTGCTCTGCCACTTACTACTTGTGTGGCCTTAATAAACAAGTTCCTCATCTTTCCTTACTTTCATCTTCTATAACATAGGATAAAATTATCCTCAACAAAATGAAATGATACATGGAAAGCACTTAGCATGTGATGCCTGGTATTTTGTATGTATTCAATAAATGTTAGCCATTGTTAATTATCATTGCTATTAACATTATCATTAGTGTAATTTCTGTATCCCCCTGAATTTGCTAATGTTTTCAGATGCCTTCCAAAGTGTACTGAATGAATGGTGACCAAGTAAGAAACTCTGTTTCTTTGCCAATTAGGAACTGACTACTTGTTCTGCCTTTTGCAAAGGACTGAACTTTAATCTCTAGTTTCTAGAACTCTGGGCAATTTTAAAAAATGAGGCTTTTCTTTCTTTTCCTCCATAAATTGGACCAGAAGTATATCAAAGACCATAAAGTCCATTGTATTATCTGATGAAGTCTTCTTGCTGGATTTAGCTTAAAAGATCTGGATCAGATAGATAAGGTCTGTCTGTCACTTCTACAGTTCTTCAGAGTGCTTTAACTCTGGCTTGCTTTCTTCCTAGTTAATAGGCCTGTTGTAAGGATCAGAGGAGGCCATTCATGCAAAATGGCTTTCTAAACTGTAAAGCACTGTGATAATGTGAAGGATGATTGTTCAAAGGCCCCAGCAACCTAAGTGATGTCCGAATCCAACCCTAGGTAATAAAGATGCAATCTCCTCTCTTCCTGCCACTTCAGAAGTTTGTAGTAAATTATTTGAGCTCGAGAGACTCATGGCTAACTTCATGCAGTGATTATGAATCCTTTCTTCTTCATTCACCCCCATATTCTCTCACAGAATGATGTGCCAGATTCTTCTGAGTCAGTCTTCAGGCCTGGACTTTGGGACACAGCATGGTGAGCTTCATAGGATCTGGGAATGAGGATTAGGAAAGATTTCTTTTGTACCATTTTCCAATCCCCTTCCTGGCAGCCCTTATCCTGGCAGCCCACATAGATTAAATGACATTTCAAAATTGAGTTCAGTGAGGATAAGACCAGATGAGGCTTCTGCCAAACTGGGCTGACAGACCTGAGTAATCAGTAGATAGCGTACATGCAAACGGATGTGTGTGTGTATGTGTGTGTACATGCTTCTGGGCTATTAGAAATTTTTTTCTGTACAATATTAACAGCAAGCCTAGAATTGTGTGTAAGATCATCATCATTATCACCCATCACAAATATAGAGTGCTTGGTAAACACAGGACCCTCTAAGCTGTGGTGTTTATTATGAATTGAATTGTGTCCCCTGCCAGCCAATTCATGTGTTAAAATCCCAACCCTCAAGGCCTTAGAATGTAATTGTGTTTGGAGTTTTATTGGAACCCCAACAAAATTAATCCCCCTTTCCCACAGCCTTGACCAAAAAAAATTTATCCAAAACTTTTTCTCCCCAAATCACTGTTTTCTGAATTTGAAAGTCCTCCTATCCATAGTCATTTCATCCTTTGCCCTGTTTACATAGCTTTATTTGTTGTCTCAAGAGAAGGGTGAAGGTAAGTGCTTCCTTTTTAACTGTGCCTATTTCTGCTTAATTGTGCCTTCATGAATGACTAAAATCACATTGAGACACCTAGGACATACAGAGACGGTGTAGTTGGTAAGACAAGTTGGTGATCTCTCTAATTGGAGAAAATCTGCAGTCCCAGAATTGGCTTGATTAGTATGGCTTCTCTTTTCCTCCCCTGCCAAGGAGTTTGTCATTCATTGCTACACTCTGGTCTTTTAATTGGGTGTATTAAGATGTTTCCCCCATCTTAATCTGCAGATTATCAAGAACCCCTTAGAGAGCAAGTACCATTGCACATTGTTTCTGCCTTCATAATGGTATTACTTAAACAAGCAACTCTGGTTGAGTTTTGTTTTGTTTTGTTTTAATCTTCTCTATTCCTTTCATGTAAATATATTTTAGTTTGTTTATCAAAGTTGTTTGCAGATGAGTTTGCTCTGGAATGTACCTCATCAGGAATGATGAGGGAGCCCCAATTTGAATTTCAACTAAAATAAGCACCACTTTTTTTCTCATGTGCTAAAGACTTTTGTCAATTTAGTTTTTCCAAGATTTAAGTGAAATCTTTTCCTCCTTCAGTATGATTTGCCTTTCCAGCTGTTGAGCGATTGTTCCTTTGGTTCTTTGTCCATTGTCACATGGGAACTAGTTCTACTTAGCCAAGAGCCAGTATGATTTCTTGCAAATCAAACCAGATCACCGAAAAAATGGCATTTTACCTAAATATTTTTCACCAAAAGTTTTTCAAAAAACAGAAAATCTTAACAGCTAAACATTAAATCCTGCCGAAAATAAAAAAGTTATCAAATGAACTGAAACACGTTTCGAAAAAGATAGAAATCAGCCAGTGATCTAATTGTATTGAGCTTTTAGTGTTTATATAACTCAGCTTCATTTTATTTTCTTTTGCTGGGTGTTTCTAAAATAGTCTCTGTAAATGCTTAAGTCTTGGTGCTTATGTAAATCAGTACAAAATCAGATTATCTCTGATTAGTTCCCATTCTACTCTAAAATGTACATGAGTCAGGCTGGAAAGTGTCTGAACTCAGAGTCAGATATGGGTATTAGCAAGGAGTGGATTGAATCAAAGAGCTGGGAATTCTGGCCTTCACATAAAACTGGGACTTGTCTCTAGGTTTCTTGTTTTATCTAATGGTAAAATGGAGATCGATGGTACTTCTCCCTTTCATTTTATCTACTGACCTGTACTGGGAACAGAATAGGTCAGGCTGCTTTGAAATCTCTGGAGAAAAAAAGAAGAGTGATAGTCCTGGTTTAGCAGTGCATAATTTAGCCAATGAAAGAACCGCTCTTTCTTGCAAGGTCAGACTATTTTCTTCTTTTCAGAAACAAGTCAGGGTTGCCTGGGCCAAAATACATGTTCCTTTTGACCACACATTGGCAGGACAGGCATGTCTAGTTTTCTTCAAAATCATGAGTCTAGATTGTTTTCCAGCTAAGAAATCTTAAACCAAAAGAATTGCAAGGTCCTGCTCTTAACACTTTGTCTTTTTAGAAATTCAAACAACTTTGAATGAACAGTGTTCTTGAAGTCTCATTGCCGTGTTGGTTCACAGGCCCTGAGCCGACAAGTAAAAATGAAAGCACAGTGGCAGAAGGATATGTGTGTGTTTCTGTGTGTGTAAATTCAACCTTTGGTACATTGAGATTATTTTACTAATCCCCCTTTATAAAGTTCCCTAGGTTTTCCTAGTGCCTAGCAACCTTGGTGATTAGAAAGGTATGGAGAGTATGGGTCAGGGATTAGAGTAGTTTAAGATACTGCACCTATAGATATGTCTATCTGATATAGGTTATAGGGTAAGGAGAAGGATTTGCCTTTGGTATTGTCCTAGTTCTTTTGTGTTTTCTTCCCTTCCTATAAACTCCCATTCCCCTGTCCTTCTTATTGCCTAAGCATCCCAGATTTTTTTTATTCCAGGTTCATAATTTATTGTACAAATTGAGTATCACATGATGAGCTGACATTAGCTTCTCCAGGCATGCGAACTTAGCAGATGAGGTACACTTTAAAATCTGTTTATGTCGGGGCGCCTGGGTGGCTTAGTCGGTTAAGCGTCCGACTTTCCGACTTTCGCTTAGGTCATGATCTCGCGGTTTGTGGGTTCGAGCCCCACGTCGGGCTCTGTGCTGACTGCCAGCTCGGAGCCTGGAGTCTGTTTTAGTCTGTGACTCCCTCTCTCTCTGACCCTCCCCTGCTCACACTGTCTCTCTCTCCTAGAAATAAAAAAAAAAAAAAAAAAAAATCTGTTTATGTTGCTTTAACAGCTGGTGTCTTTTTAGACCTTAACTTGAAGTATAAGACCATCAAAGCGATGCTTCCGTATGTGGCCAGTACACAATTCATTCTACCTGTGAGGGTGTAAGAGTTGAAATATTTTTTGATACCAGTGAATTGGAATTGGGCATCAATTTCTGGACCTGCCATGACTTCAATCTTGCAAAAGACACCAATTCCACTGCTTGTGTCCTTCAGCCTACGCCCTAAGCATCCCAGGTTTTAAGGCAGTCTGCTTGGCTTCTTTCTTCCTGGAAGAAAATGAATCTTCTGATTTGTTATAGAAGTGTTCATGACTTTTTGTATTACCTCTCCTGGGAGTATTTATGCTTTAAAGGCATTTTCTAGGCTGAAGACAGTAGGCCTCCTTCCTAAAGAAAGGGAAATATTTGGGAATAAGAAGATCTTTCTGACACGAATAGACATTTTTTCAAAGAAGACCTACAGATGGCCAACAGACACATGAAAACATACTCAGCATCACTAATCATCAAGAAAATGTGAAGCAAAACCACAGTGAGCTATCACTTCACACTTGTCTGCAAGGCTAAAATAAAAGAGATAAGAGAAAGCAACTGGTTGGGACATGCAATAGAGCACGGTACTCTTAATCTCAGGGTTGTGAGTTCAAGCCCCATGCTGGGCATGGAGCCTATTTTAAAAATAAATAAATGAATTAATAAAATAGACAAGAAATAGCAAGTGTTGGCAAGGATATGGAGAAAAAGGAACCCACATACACTATTGACGAACCTATAAATTGGTACAGCCACTATGGAAAACTGTATAGAGCTTTCTGAAAAAAATTAAAAATAGAAATACCGTACAACCCAGTAATTCCACTTCTGGGCATTTATTTGCCCAAAGAAAACAAAAACACTAATTCAACAAGATCTGTGCACCCCTCCTTTCATTGCAGCATATTTTTCCAAAGCCAAGATTTGCAAGCAACCTAAGTATCCGTAAGAGATGAATGGATAAAGAAGATGTGTATATATCAGGTGTGATATACTGTATCACATACACACACACACACACACACACACACACACACACAGTGGAATATTACTTGGCCATAAAAAGGAATAAAATCTTGCCATTTGTGACATGTGGATCAACCTAGAGGGTATTATGCTAAGTGAATTAAGTCAGACAGAAAAAGACAAAATACTGTTTGATTTCAATTATATGTGGAATCTGAAAAACAAAACAAAGCAGAAACAGACTCATAAATACAGAGAACAAAGTGATGTTTGCCAGAGAGGAAGTGAGGGAGAGGGGATGGACAAAATAGGTAAAGGGGATTAAGCGGTATAGACTTCCAGCTGTAAGTCACAGGATGCAAAGTACAGCATAGGGAATATAGTTAATAATATTATAATAATAACATTTTATGGTTTCAGATGGTGAGCACTGAGTATTTCAGAATGTATATAAGTGTCAAATTACTATGTTGTACACCTGAAACTAATATAATATTGTATGTCAACCATACTTCAATTTAAAAATAAATACATTTAAAAGTTGGGGGAAAAGATCTTTCGGGCTTAAATGACACTATGTGGGTATGATTTTCCAAAGTTTTCACATGGAGGAACAATGAAAGTTCCTCCCAATAACTCAAATAACTCCCAATAACTCCTTGTTTAAAAGTTTTTGCAGAGCTTCTATGATTTAGTTAGATTAAATTTCACTTCTTATTTCCATTTTGTGGAAATATTTATTTAAAAAAAAAATTTAATGTTTATTTATTTTTGAGACAGAGAGATACAGAGCACGAGCTGGGGAGGGGCAGAGTGAGAGCAAGACACAGAATCTGAAAGTAGGCTCCAGGCTCTGAGCTGTCAGTGCACAGCCCTGTGCAGGGCTCAAACCTGTGAACCATGAGATCATGACCTGAGCTGAAGTCAGACACCCAGCTGACTGAGCCACCCACGAGCCCCCATCTTGTAGAAATATTTAAAAGATGGACCAAAACAAGGAGAAAAAAGTGAAGCAGCAGAGACCCAGATAATAGGTCTCTGAATGATTAAGATGATATTATTGTATTTTTAAATGTTGCCTTTTTTTTTTTTGTAAATGTGTATTTATTTATTCTGAGAGAGAGAGAGATAAATGGCAAGCAGAAGAGAGACTGAGAGAGAGAGGGAGACAGAGAATCTCAAGCAGATTCTGCATGGCCAGTGTGGAGCCCGATGCAGGGTTCAAACTCACACAGTCAGCTGGAACTCACAATGAGATCATGACCTGAGCTGAAAGCAAGAGTTGGAAGCATAACCAACTGAGCCACCCAGGCATCTAAAATATTGCCACTTAATATAAAACCTGCATGTGGCACTTAGAAAGTTGAAGTTAGATGCCTTAAATTTGTTTAGTAGTAACTTTGGTCAATGATAGATCTGAAATGTCCTACATACCCAACGAAGGCCTCTTTTCTCCTTTGAGTTGCGACTTAACTAATGAAAAGTTCATGTTTTCTTCATATAATAAGTATTAGTGGGAGTTGTCAGGTTGTCCTCACAAAAGTCCTTTGAAATGCCTGAATGGGAACTGCAGAAAACGTAGTAATTATTGTCTGGTGATGGTTAATGCTTTTATGATACACTTGTAATACCCGATCCTCTTCTAGGAAGTTGGGGGAATATGGATAAGCACTTCCTCTCAGGAGCTGCTCTGACTCTGAAAGCACCTGGTATGTGCCGAGGCACTGCTGTATTCATTTTAGAGTGAATTCTTTAGTTCTTGGAGATCCTGTCTTAGTCCCACATAGCTCTTAGCATGTAATGGACACCTATTGAGTTTGGGGTGAGTCATTTTATTTAGAGGCTCCATCATTAAGTTGCAGTCTAAGTTTCATCTGTTTTCATCCCCAGTAGGATGATTTACTTTGTGATTTGCAGGACATTTTTTTTTCTCTTTTTGAAAATTGCATTAGCATACTTTTTACGCAGTAGCTGTAGAACTTGTCAGCTATTGTATTTGAAATAAGGATTTCCTCATGAAAAAATGGCCTGAGTAGGGACCATTGTTTGTGATACGTATTGCTAAAAATTTTTGTTTAAAAAAATTACAGGGGCTCCTGGGTGGCTCAGTCAGTTAAGTGGCCAACTCTTAATCTCAGCTCAGATCTTGATCTCAGGGTCGTAAATTCAAGCCCTGCTTTGGGCTTTGCACTGGACATGAAGCCTACTTAAAAAAAAAAAAGGAAAAGAAAATAAGTAAAAGATTATAAGTCACAAGTTTCTTTTTTGAAGTATTTTTTTAAGCTACAGTATAAGCTATCCATTGTTTTAGATATAGAGTCTAAGAGCAGCTTGTAGACATGAGGCCATGTTTCTGAAATCAAGACCCTTGATGAAAATTCTTTTTTTTTTTTTTTTAAATGCTTATTTATTTTGACAGAGATAGAGAGCTGGGAAGGGGCAGAGAGAGAAGGAGAGAGAATTCCAGGCAGGCTCCACATTGTCAGCACAGAGCCTGATGCGGCCCTCAAACTTACAAATTGTGAGATCATGACCTAAGCCAAAATCAAGAGTCAGATGCTTAACCAACTGAGCCACCTAGGCGCCCCAAGACCCTTGTTGTAAATTCTTAATGTAATCTAATCTTCCATGGTTGATTTTGCTATTTTCGTTTGTTTTGTTTTCAGTACATGTACATTTAAAAAAATAATTTATTTTTTTAATTTACATCCCAGTTAGTTACCATATAGTGCAACAATGATTTCAGGAGTAGATTCCTCAATGCGCCTTACCCATTTGCCCATCCCCCCACCCACAACCCCTCCAGCAGCCCTCTGTTTGTTCTCTGTATCTAAGAATCTCTTATGGTTTGTCCCCCTCCCTGTTTTTATATTATTTTTGCTTCCCTTCCCTTATGTTCATCTGTTTTGCATCTTAAAGTCCTTATATGAGTGAGGTCATATGATATTTGTCTTTCTCTGACAATTTCACTTAGCATAATCCTCGAGTTCCATCCACATAGTTGCAAATGGCAAGATTTCATTCTTTCTGATTGCCAAGTAATACTCCATTGTGTATATATATATATATATATATACACCAAATCTTCTTTATCCATTCATCCATCAATGGGCATTTGGGCTCTTTCTGTACTTTGGCTATGTTTATAGCACTGCTATAAACATTAGGGTGCATGTACCCCTTCCAAACAGCACACCTGTATCCCTTGGATAAATACCTAGTAGTGCAGTTGTTAGGTCGTAGGGTAGTTCTATTTTTAATTTTTTTTTTTTTTTTTGAGGAACCTCCATACTGTTTTCCATAGTGGCTTCACCAGTTTGCATTCCCACCATCAACACAAAAGAGATCCTCTTTCTCTGCATCCTCACCAACATCTGTTGTTGCCTGAGTTGTTAATGTTGCCATTCTGACAGGCGTGAGGTATATACCATTGTGGTTTTGATTTGTATTTCCCTGATGATAAGTGATGTTGAGCATTTTTTCATGTGTCTGTTCACTATCTGAACGTCATCTTTGGAGAAGTGTCTATTCATGTCTTTTGCCCATTTCTTCACTGGATTATTTGGGTTTTTTGGGTGTTGAGTTTGATAAGTTCTTTATAGATTTTGGATACTAACTCTTTAACTGACATGTCATTTGCAAATACCTTCTCCTATTCTGTCAGTAGCCTTTTAGTTTTGCTGATTGTTTCCTTCGCTGTGCAGAAGCTTTTTATTTTTATGAAGTCCCAATAGTTCATTTTTGCTTTGTTGAGTTGCTGTGACCAAAGTCAAAGAGGTTTTTGCTTGCTTTCTCCTTTAGGATTTTGATGGCTTCTTGCCTTACATTTAGGTCTTCGTCCATTTTGAGCTTATTTTTGTGTACAGTATAAGAAAGTGGTCCAGGTTCATTTTTCTTCAGGTCACTGTCTAGTTTTCCCAGTACCACTTGCTGAAGAGACTGTCTTTATTCCATTGGATATTCTTTCCTGCTTTGTCATAGATTAGTTGGCCATATGTTTGTGGGTCCATTTCTGGGTTCTCCATTCTGTTCATTGATCTGAGTGTCTGTTTTTGTGCCAGTTGTTTTTCCTTTTAAATACCAAAGTGATACTATGTAATACTTTAATAGAAATGATAATAGAAAAAAATTAAATATTTGTTTTGGATAATTACCACTTGGAGGGCAGCCTTCCTACCAATTTAGGCATGATGAAAATCCTTGTCCTGCTAATCTTTGGAGTTTGTGTTC